ATAAAGCTGCGGTATTGACGCTGACTGAATCTAAAAATGACGGTTGAAGTGATGAGATGCCTGCACAGTAAAGCCTCATTCACAACTGAAAATCAAATACCTCAGCCTCCAACAGACTAAACACTGTGTTCACACTTGAGGTAATATTGGATCACTTGCACATTTTGTCTTAATGTTTCATTATTAGATAATATAGTGCAAACTCCAAATTATGTATAATATGCAGCATTGTGATATACCTAGTAATTAATCTTGTGATAGACTCAAAGGATCAAGCAGCAAGTTAAATCATTTAATCTATAAACATTCCCACCATCTGTTAAACCGCTGCCCTTCAACTGACCTTTGACATGGCAATGTGAGATATGAGACCCCAAAATTTGTTTTCCCACAATCCTTCTGTACAAGTGCATGTCATGTTTAATCTGCACACTGGTCACAGTACCCTAATTCCCATGGCACTGCTGATTAAAGAGTTTCAGTCATTATATGCAGTAAGATAGATGCAGTGTTTACTGTTTACCAGTGTTGGAACAAATAATCCTAGAGATCGCTGCCTCTCTCAACATGTGCTCAGTCTCCACAGATTATCTCCACCACCTCCTCTGTCTCTCATTGCAGCTGAAAAATGAGATCATAATATGTAGAACTACAGCCTGAAGCATTGGCCCTGAATTTTCTTTTAGGCATTAAATGTAAAATGTTTGAGTGGTAGAGGGATATGTTTGCCTTCAAGATGAGAGGCCTGTGTTCACATCCTGTCTCCAACCTTAAACAACTATGCTGCTTGTGTCATTGTTTAACCCTGATAGTGGCCTTTCCCTAATCTTAATCAAGTGGTCCTAGTTAACTAAACAAAACACTAACCATACTGTACAGGGGTTGAGATGCATCAACTGTGGAAGACCAGTTACTTAAAACAATGGTGGACTTTCAAAAACTTTATTAAAAATTGAAGCTTTACAGCTGCCACATACAGTACAGTACATTAATCATAGAGTAATGATTTTAATTATTGATGTCATAAAATGGAGAAAAAAGCACTTTGGGGACAAAATGTAAAACCCCCAAAATATTTAAATTACAGTGATATAAAACAAAAAAGTAGCTAATCCTCAAATATGGCATTTTTTTAAATATAATTAAGTATTTGAAGGAACAGTTTGGCATTTTGCTAAATATTCTTATTCACTTTCTTTATGAGAGTTTGCTGGAAAAAAATTAACACCACTCTGATGTCTGCTCCTTAAATATAACGCTACAACTTGGTTACATTAGCTTAGCATAAAAAATGGAAGCAGGGCAACGCAGCTAGACCTTGAAGCTCACTAATTACCACTTTATATCTTGTTTCTTTAACCCATACAAAAAAAGCTAAATACAGTGCCTTGCGAAAGTATTCGGCCCCCTTGAACTTTGCGACCTTTTGCCACATTTCAGGCTTCAAACATAAAGATATAAAACTGTAATTTTTTGTGAAGAATCAACAACAAGTGGGACACAATCATGAAGTGGAACGAAATTTATTGGATATTTCAAACTTTTTTAACAAATAAAAAACTGAATAATTGGGCGTGCAAAATTATTCAGCCCCTTTACTTTCAGTGCAGCAAACTCTCTCCAGAAGTTCAGTGAGGATCTCTGAATGATCCAATGTTGACCTAAATGACTAATGATGATAAATAGAATCCACCTGTGTGTAATCAAGTCTCCGTATAAATGCACCTGCACTGTGATAGTCTCAGAGGTCTGTTTAAAGCGCAGAGAGCATCATGAAGAACAAGGAACACACCAGGCAGGTCCGAGATACTGTTGTGGAGAAGTTTAAAGCCGGATTTGGATACAAAAAGATTTCCCAAGCTTTAAACATCCCAAGGAGCACTGTGCAAGCGATAATATTGAAATGGAAGGAGTATCAGACCACTGCAAATCTACCAAGACCTGGCCGTCCCTCTAAACTTTCAGCTCATACAAGGAGAAGACTGATCAGAGATGCAGCCAAGAGGCCCATGATCACTCTGGATGAACTGCAGAGATCTACAGCTGAGGTGGGAGACTCTGTCCATAGGACAACAATCAGTCGTATACTGCACAAATCTGGCCTTTATGGAAGAGTGGCAAGAAGAAAGCCATTTCTTAAAGATATCCATAAAAAGTGTCGTTTAAAGTTTGCCACAAGCCACCTGGGAGACGCACCAAACATGTGGAAGAAGGTGCTCTGGTCAGATGAAACCAAAATCGAACTTTTTGGCAACAATGCAAAATGTTATGTTTGGCGTAAAAGCAACACAGCTCATCACCTTGAACACACCATCCCCACTGTCAAACATGGTGGTGGCAGCATCCTGGTTTGGGCCTGCTTTTCTTCAGCAGGGACAGGGAAGATGGTTAAAATTGATGGGAAGATGGATGGAGCCAAATACAGGACCATTCTGGAAGGAAACCTGATGGTGTCTGCAAAAGACCTGAGACTGGGACGGAGATTTGTCTTCCAACAAGACAATGATCCAAAACATAAAGCAAAATCTACATTGGAATGGTTCACAAATAAACATATCCAGGTGTTAGAATGGCCAAGTCAAAGTCCAGACCTGAATCCAATCGAGAATCTGTGGGAAGAACTGAAAACTGCTGTTCACAAACGCTCTCTATCCAACCTCACTGAGCTCGAGCTGTTTTGCAAGGCGGAATGGGCAAAAATTTCAGTCTCTTGATGTGCAAAACTGATAGAGACATACCCCAAGTGACTTACAGCTGTAATCGCAGCAAAAGGTGGCGCTACAAAGTATTAACTTAAGGGGGCTGAATAATTTTGCACGGCCAATTTTTCAGTTTTTTATTTGTTAAAAACGTTTGAAATATCCAATAAATTTCGTTCCACTTCATGATTGTGTCCCACTTGTTGTTGATTCTTCACAAAAAATTACAGTTTTATATCTTTATGTTTGAAGCCTGAAATGTGGCAAAAGGTCGCAAAGTTCAAGGGGGCCGAATACTTTCGCAAGGCACTGTAACATGGTAGCCCGACACCAAAATCACTCCCAGTTTACTATAGACCTACAGTGCACTATGTATTCACTAACTGCTGTTTCATTTGAGTGTCTGAATCAAAAGTGTGATTTATCCACTATAAAAAATATAGTTATACAAAAAAATAGTTTGGTTGCAGAGTGTGAACAAACAATTTGTTCATTTACAGAGCACAGTGCAGATTTAAAAACTAATTTCTCTTCTCCCTTTTTCAGAGTCTCCACAGTCAAACCATTCCACCTCTCAGATTTTCTCCATGTTCCCTGTGCAGCCAGTGGGGGGCGCTCCATACTCCTGTCCCCCATACTCCTGTCCCCCATACTCTCCCACTGCCATGCCCTGGGGCCAGCAGGGACCTCTGGGAAGCCAGTGGGCAGGTCCAGCTGTGCCGCTCTGGCCAACCATGCCCAGCGGCATGGCAGCACAGGAACCAGCAGGCACCACAATGCCTCTAGCAGGCGTCCAGATCCAGGCACATGGTCCTCAGCCAGGGGTCATTTGGCGAGGAGCCACACCCTCTTCACCCACCACATCCAATGGATACCCCAGCCCTTTTAACTCCATCTATGCACCTGCTGGAGCAACAGCAGCACTGCAGTCAGTGTCCCCCGGCTTGAACCATAATCCCCAGCTGTAAGGAGCTGCACACCATAACTTTGCCTGCAAATAAACACCATGTCTCCAACTGAATGCCAGATATTTTGGCAAATTGTTGTCATGCCATGTTGATATTTGGGTAAATGGGCTATTTTGGGAGTATCCTGGTCATTATCAATCATAGATACATTGTGTTCACTTTGAGCACAGACGGGACAGAAATTGATTCATCTGCAGTGTTTGTGTTAGCTCCTGAACTGAGCAGAGCTGAGATCAGGATGCAGTCTTTATTTTCAGTCTGTCGCTCTCGTCATCGGGATCTCTGGGTCCTCTACAAGTCAGCTAAGGTTATCCATTCTAAATTAACACAGTCAGTAAAGTAAGTTCTGAATAATTTAAGTGACCTTTTAGCCAAACAAAACAAGAATGGATGCAGGTAAATATGGCGCCCTGTCCCAACATTCAACACAGCATGACGTACCTTTACATTCTCTATACTTTCTGTTTATGGCAACTGAAAATTCTCAGTTCTGATTGGCTGGAAGGTGTGGGTACCAGACAGCTGTGATGCAGTTCTAAATGAATGTGCCACATTTTTATTTTTATGGTTCTAGATGAAGACAGCAACATTGAAGCCCGGCTAAACATGTTGGAGCTTGTTTTTTGGAGCAGTAAACATCTGTACATTAACAGCCACGTAAATTAAACTTCAAATCTTGTTTTTGTGGGGGGGGGATTTTGATAATTCAGATGTTCATTTCTACTTTAATTTGTGTTCACATTCAATCTGAATCTAAATTTTGTCTCTACATGCTACTTTGCTTTTGCATGTCAAATTGACTAGAATTTGCTGTCTTCTTTAAACATTAGTTTTGCTTGTGTTGCCCTTTGGACTCCATCTAAGTTAAGGGTCTAAGGCTTGGGGATGCTGTAGAGATTCATTTTTGATTTGCGATATTGGACTATATGAATTAAATGGACTTTAGTTGATCTATACAGGCAGTATAAAACGTGCAACCTACGGTAACGCCCATTTTACTTTACTTCACGTTTACATTATTTTATTGTCCTTTGGACTTTTGTCCTTCTCTGTTTTGTATATTCTAAATGAAATTATTTCTACTTCCTTTTTGCACTTGCACACATAGAGATGATAAAACACAAAGAGGGGGGGAAATTAATAAATGCTCACTGTGTCGGTGAGACAAAATTACTTGTATCTTTCTTGACCCAAATAGATTTTCTGAAAATGTTGTAGCACTCAGTGTAATTCCTAACCTTTTGAGAAGAGATGAAATGAATGTTTCTGTTTTGTGCTGTGGCGATGTCGCCCTGTTGCTACACGCTGAGTTACTGAGTAGTTCCTCGTTTGCAGTAAGTTTAGTAACAAAGGTCATGCAGCTGTCATGTAGCTGTATGCACTATCAGCCAGGATACTGAATCACTGCTGGACATGAAGCGCTTTATTCACCACTGAACCATCACTAAAAGCTAAATATGGTAAGAAATTGTTATTTACATTGTTATTTAGAATGGTTTTGGTTTTTCTTTAAATATCAGTGAATGGAGTGATTGATAGCTCCTCTCCTTGTACCTTTCACATTTCTACTTATGTGTGAAGATGTTTCATTCTGGTTATTTAATCCTTAACATGACAGTCGTAGGAAGATATATCCACAGATTCAGGTTTTTTGTGTATCAGACCTTAGTTTTCTTCTATCACTTATCAAAATACTCATTAAAAATGTTAATCTGGCTTACAGTCCTGCAAATACGCAATCTGATGTTTCCAAGCAGTACTGTACATTATGACTTTTTGTTAAATGCAATAATACGTTAACGTGTTCAGTTTTTCCCT